TCTCACCTTTTGATGATTTGAAAATCATCATATTTTCTGCCCCTGTATGGGACAGATATCTAGGCCCATTGCTTAAAACACTGTTAAAGTGACTATTTTTGTAAGAAGGCTAAACTGGGGAGAGGGGAGTTTAATGTTTTTTAATTAGGAAAGTTTTAAGTGTCATTTAAAAAAGTATTGGCTATTTTATTGAATAGAATATTGTCTGGAAAAGCACTTTTAACTTTTTAACACAGCTTTTTTTTTTTTTAAGAGTTTATTTATTTGAGAGAGAGTGAGAGAGAATAAGAGGGGGGAGGGTCAGAGGGAGAAGCAGACTCCCCGCTGAGCAGGGAGCCCTGGACTCTGGGATCATGACCTGAGCTGAAGGCAGTTGCTTAACCAACTGAGCCACCCAGGCGCCCTTAACACAGCTTTTTAACTCCTAGTATGGTGATACTGAGCTATTTTTGAGATTAACAATTTATATAGTGTAATTTGCCTGGGTCAAACAGCTAGGTGGGAGAGCCATGATTAGATCCCAGATCGCCTATCGCCAGCATTTTCAACATCCTACCTTGAATTTGGAGGAACTCAAAAAAGGTTTAAGAAACAAGATTTCTTTCTGCCTTGTCCCTACACTTGGGCTCTTTGGACTCATGGAAGGAGAGTATTGTAAAACTTGTACTTCTAGCCTGTATCCACTACCAACAACCCAAAACAAATGTCTAATTTGTCATTGTCTAAATGCATCAAAGATGCTCTGAGTTAAGTTTAGGGGTCAAAGCCTATCCTACCTGACTGTAAAAGAAATTTGAACATAAGTAAAAGTTTACCACAGTGTTTGGCTAGCTCCACAACCCCAGTGATGATAGGCTAGTGCTGTCACTTACATCTCAGAGATGCCAGCTGCAGAACAAGGCTTTCCTGTATGTGTCTTGGCCAGTTAGTGACTTTAATTGCTACCATACCTGCAGATATTTGTGTTTTTTTTTTTTTAAGATCTTATTTATTTGACAGAGAGACACAGCGAGAGAGGGAACACAAGCAGGGGGAGTGGGAGAGGGAGAAACAGGCTTCCCGCTGAGCAGGGAGCCCGATGCGGGGCTCGATCGCAGGACCCTGGGACCATGACCTTCGGCAGACGCTCAACCACTGAGCCACCCAGGCGCCCCTGCAGATACTTGTTCTTAATGGTAGAGGGAGACAGAGTTGCAGAGGGTGTTGAGGCTATGCAATAAGCAACTTTAAGGGTTCCATTTATAGATTAATGTGCATGGCTTCCCCACAGGGGTGTGTACTAGAGCAGCTCTGAGGAATTCTTTCCCCTTTTGTTACCATCCTTTACATTATGAAGTCTAAAATGTGCATTATTTATACTGTCATCTCAGCCAGGGACTAGAAGGCAAAGTATGGCATAAATAGCACTGATTTGAGTTCTGGTCTTTAGCTCCATCACTAATAATGGTGAGATCTTAAAGCCACATCTTCTCTATCATTTATAAGAACTAGGAAAACAGGTGGGTTTTGGCCAGCAGAACAAATGAACCAGTGTGAAACCTATTAGCTATAACAAGGTTATTGAGTATGTGTATGTGTACACGTTTGAGAAGGGGGTGGGAGAGTTTGCCCTCAAATGGGCAACCCAGGACCCAGCTCATGTAGGCCCTTCCCAACTTTGCAGTGGAATAACTGGAACTTCTTGGCCTTATAAGAATTGGGGAATACATTCTGATCGGAAAGCAGATAACACCTCATCATAGAGGTCTTTGAGCTCCGGTTGATGAACTAAGTAGACTTGGAGAATGGGATCTCACCTACTTTTACTGTTTCATTATATCCTAACAGATCTCCTAAGTTAAGGCCTATTGGGGCGCCTGGGTGGCTCAGTTGGTTAAGCATCCTCCTCTTGATTGCAGCTCAGGTCATGATCTCAGAGTCCTGAGATCAAGTCCTATGTTGGGCTCCTCACTCAGCGGGGAGTCTGCTTCTCTCCTTCCTCCCCCGCTCGCACCCCTCTCTCTCTAAAATAAATAAATCTTAAAAAAAAAATTAGGGCCTATTTATAGTTTCGGTCTTTTCATATGGAGCAACTTGTAAAATAACTTTCCCAAAGACACACAAGTCATAGATAAAGTAGCAACTAGAACCCTCATCTCCAAGCTACTTCAGTACTCTATATTCAATGCCCAAATTACTAATTGCTCAGTGGGAAATATCTCTGTAGGTACCATCGATGACCAGGGAATTTTGAGCTTGCTGGGAAATTATTAGCCCAGAGCAGGAGGCCTGGTTGTTGATTAAACAGAGCTGCCACTGGTTAGTGTCAGGAGACACAAAGCTAGATGTACAGAAGTGAAGCAACAGCCGGTGAACAGAGAATGTGCAGGGAGACTCTGTTAACTCTGCAGGTAGGTAAGCATGATGGCTCAGTACACTGAGGACTTCAGAAGACAAACAGTGCCTTTGTTTCTGGAGATTTAAAAAATAATGACTTTCCATAGTTGCAGGGAGACTGCAGTTTATTATTCAGAAGCAAACAAGTTGGGGAGAAGTTTTTGTTCAACCACACTAGTGATAAGTACTAGGGTATTACCTCATTATCATTATACAGGAAGGCTGGAGGCGGAGAGGCTAGAGACATTAATTTTTGATGTGTTAGTGTCTTTGTTTTATGAAATTCCACTTTTCCTTCAAACTCTTAGTTCTTCCTGGACACTTTAAAACATCCTCTGGTCACTTTGGCAAGGTTATTTTCATTAAAATCTTTATGTCATCTCCCAACTCCCAGAATCTGGATCAGGTCTGTGATCTTGATTCTCAAGCCAACCAAAAGTCTTTACAACCCAGCGAGCTCATTTGCATTATTTTGGTTCACCAACTGCCAGATGAGAAGTGACCTTCTATCCAATCTTGGGGCACCTGGCTGGCTCAGTCGGTAGAGTATGCAACTCCTGATCTCAGGGCTGTGAGTTCAAGCCCCATGTTGGGCATAGGGTTTACTTTAAAAAAAAACAAAAACAAAAACTCATTTAGGACACCCTTATTTCTTGGCTTATGTCCCCACCATGATGTGTGCCAAACAGCAGTCTAGCTTACATGTCCCACCAGTGACGTGAGAATTCCTGAGGTGTTCATTCCGTCTCTGGGCACTCTCTGTGTATAACTCCTCAGTCTTGTCTCTGCCAATGGTAAGAACTAGGGAAGATTTCTGATGCCATCCTTTGTGGCTTGGCTAGGGAATCACAGATCCTTACTGGCATTGTTACCAAGTTCCACCCAAGTGGCCAATTGTATCTGCTTGTTTAAGCAGGGAGAGGAATTCATGCTAAAGTTCATTTCTAAAGGAAGATACCAAGGGTGGCTGACTGACGAAAGATCTGTGGTCTGGGTGGAAGATAAGTAGAGAGGAGCTTCTGACTCGGGGGTAATTTTGAGGTTGTCTATAAAGCCAAGCTGATACTTCCTGTGTCAAGGCCTCTTTTTTAACAGTACTCAAAAAGGATACCTTCACTCAAAACAGAGATGATATCTCCTCAAAGTGAGAAGTTGGTGCTTTCTTCTACATACCATCATCTCTGGCCAAGACACCCTAGAAACCTATGTATAAAGAACATAAAATACTAAGAGAATTAAGTCATAGCAAGCACAGTCTTAGGTCTCCGAGATCAGAAGCCTTCAGAAGCAGTCCTTTGCTTCCTGCATTCTGATCCAATGGGAGGAGACAGAGGACTCCATCTACTTCTGAGATCATACCTCCTCTAAACCATTGTGTTTGGGGAGTTGTTGTTTTCTCTTACCACTTGAAGGTGGTAATAAATAATGAAGAGACCAAAAGGAAGGCAAGCAAGTGAATGAGGCCTGCAAAGATCGCTTAAGACTCGAGACCTGGAAAACCAATTCAGTGGTACTTCTTTGGGTTGTCTTAGTTTTATTTTGTTGTTTGTTTCTTGTTTCCTCAAACTCATAACTTGGGATTTTGTTCAAGGGTCACATATTGTCTCAGAATAGTGTGCCTGGGGTTCTTCCAGCTGGTTTCGTATGATTAGCTGTTCACCAAAACAGAGCCAATATGGACGATTCCTTCAGTGTTAGACTGAAGGTCAGGGTCACCCAAACCTGCTTGAACAGGAACTGCACATTTTTGGCAGAATTTGCTGAAAAAACAGTGATGGGAAGATGAGAAAGAAGTGGCTTCCTGAGATAGGTTATAAGCACATGTGGCACAGGGGACACAGGAGAAATACTCAGTCTCTGTATTAGGGCTGTGGGTCCAAGGGAATGAGTGAAGCCTGGGCTGTCACTGAAAGAAAAATGTTACATGTATATACCCACCCCCCACCCCTGCAAGCTTGGCTTTCTTATAAAAAAGGAAAAGAAAACCACTCACAATTTCTCCAAAAGCTTTTACCTTAAAGAACCAGAGTTCCATGGTATCTGACCTAGAGAAATAATCCAGAGCTCAGCCATTGGGGCCCCGTAAGCCCAACAGGTTAAAACCCACTGGGCTGCCCCCATACTGTGGTCAGTTCTGAATGATCCTGGGGTCCTGCATGGTGGGGAGGGATCTGCAGCACCCTAATTAACTGAAATCCCTACTGTACCAGATGCTGGGGGGAGGGGGTGGCCAGACGTCAGTAATTCTTCCTCAGCAAACCCTAGATGGATGCTGTAAATGAGCAATAGAATGGCTTTAAATTTCAGTTCCTCATTATTTCTCCTGCTCAGAAAGGGTGAAAGAATGTCAGGTGGGGACCATGGAGGAGGGGGAGCAAGAAATGAGGAAGGAGGGAAGTGATTTTTTTTTTATGACAGGATAATGTGCCTTAGATATAATTGAGCATTGTCTGCATCTCAGGTGAGATTCTGGGATAGTTCAGAGTTTCTTCCTATTTTATTTATTTGACAGAGACACAGCTAGAGAGGAAACACAAGCAGGGGGAGTGGGAGAGGGAGAAGCAGGCTTCCTGCGGAGCAGGGGGAACCCCCCCGATGCAGGGCTCCATCCCAGGACCCTGGGATCATGACCTGAGCCGAAGGCAGATGCTTAACCACTGAGCCACCCAGGCGCCCTAGTTTCTGCCTATTTGATCTAGAACATGGTTGGACTAAGATTATCCAAACCTGAAATTATGGCCCCTGGAATTCCTCATACCGAGCCACAGGACATGGCTTTTGATAACATCTCTCCTCTTTAAAATTGGTTTGCTGTTTGTGAGGCCAGGAGGGAGCTTCCTGTTATAACAGGTGTCTTCTTTCTTGATGACAAATTAAAATAAAACTTCGTAGCAACACCTAGAACTAGATGTCCTATGATAATGTTTAATGGCCTAATTGAAACCAGGATGTGGGGATCAATCCATGCCATGCTTTGCTTTACTGATCTTCAGCATTATTCCTCACAAAACCAAACACCATAAAACCAGCCCCTGAGTGGCCAGATCCAGGAAGAAGCCTTTTCTACATTGACACGGATAGCCTTTTGAATAAATTGAGCAGAAAAAGCATGGTAATGTGAAATATTCATGTCACTGAGTAAGCGCTTGCCAACCTCTTGCACTTTTGTTTTCTCTGGTCCCAGATGTCTCTCCAGGCTCTGGAAAGGAAGAGGCTAGAAGTAGTGTCAGAAAAGAGGGCAACGACCCAGAAAACACCAAGGATAGCAGGTTTATACTCTTCACCACCTAGGAGAAGCCCGCACGGCAGAAGAAAACCAGCCCTGGTTAGGACTTTCTGGAGTAATCTCCAGGAACGGTACTGGAGGGAGCAGCCAGAGTGCCCCAGAGGCTGGCGGACCCTGTGTGCGAGGACTCCCTCTTCCTAAAATCATCCTGAAGATCTCCCTAGGCTTGAAACCCTAGCCTGAAGCCCCGGATCAGCCCAACCAAGATCCGCAGGACTGGTCTGGAAGACCAGACCTCAGGCTTGCAGACGACGGACACACTCTGTACCTTGAGGTCCTCACCAGCCCAGCCTCGGCACCGCACTTACTGCCTCGGCCGCCTTTCGCACACTCACGCAAGACTGACGCAGCCCCGCGGCTCTAGGAGGCTGCTTCCACGGCGGCCGCAGCATGAAGTCAGCAGAGTGCCACAACCACAGAACCGAATGAGGGAAGTGGGACTGAGACACAAACATCCTGTCCTCCCGACACTGAGTGGCTCCAGCTTGAGAATCAGGGTCGGAGGGCTGATTATTTATGTGGGACAGAGCTTCCCGATGACGCACATACACCCATTTTCTCTAGGGTCCTCGCTAGGGACAGAGCATTTTCTCGAGTCCATAGACTCAAAGGGTGCTATTCTTTGGCTTAGGAGGTCGGTGACTGGAGAGCGTGACAGTGACAGCCCAGCTGCGGACCAGGAAGAGCTGGAATGTGTTGAGCAAAGCCTGGGGCAGGAGTGTTCTCAGGGTAAAGTGAGCACCAGCTTGCTGGAAGTTCCATGTCTTTCCACAGACCAGTCTAGGAGAGAGGGGGCCGAATCAGCGGCAAAGGCCTCCAGCTGCAGGCCCCCTTCCGTCCTCACGGCCGTTTCAGGACTCGTGGCATGCCCAGCTCTGTTCTTGGGACAGGTCTCACCTCGTATACGATCGCTTCCAGCTAAAGATCTCGTCCAGATTGGAAGAGGGAGAGGCCTCCCTTTTCTGCAGGGTTCCCCAGCGACGCCGGCCCCCCAGGAACGAAGCCCGGTGCCTGCTCAGCCCTTTCATCCTCTCTTCCGTTCGGAAGAACTCAGTCAAGGCCCGGAAGTACTCCAAGATGACCTCATGGCTCCAGGCTGGCAAGGGCTCCTGGCGCAGGAAGCCGCAGTGGCCTCCGTGGTGACTGAGCAGGAGGAAGAAGTAGGGGTTGTTGTGAAACAGTTCCGTGGGCAGAAAGTGGTCTGGGGGCCCGCACACAGGGTCGTCGGCGCTAGAGATACACAGCACAGGCACAGCGGCTTCATCCACGTCCCGGAGGGGGTCGTTGTGGTCCCAGTAGGTGTCCCAGCTGATGGGGAAACTCTTGGTGTGGCAGAAGAGGGTCTCCTCAAACTCGCGCAGGGAGCGGCTCCTGAACAGTCTGTGGGTGTCCACGGTGTCCTGCAGGGCCGAGGCGTACCTGGCAGCACGACGCGGAACAGGGAAGGTAGGAGAGAGAGGGAGGGATGAGAAAACGAATCGACAGCAGGAGTTCCAGAGGGGCAGGCCACGGGCCAGGTTCTGGCCACAGAGGCCACCCTTTGGCCGTATGATACTAAACTTCCATTTCATTGCCATCATTTAAAGATTTTTTTTTTTTAAGTGAACTCTATGCCCAAAGGAGGGACAGCAACCCAGAGATCAAGAGTCACATGCTCTACGGACTGAGAAGGCCAGGCACCCCACTGTCATCATATAAAACCAGGAGATTTCACATAAATTGCAGATATTTGGGATCTCTTGGGAAATGGAAAGGTCTGGCAACATGGGCTGGCATTCAGGGCATTTCTCCCCTCATGCCTGTGTCACAGTTCCTCCCAGGCCTGCATTCATGGCATTAACCTGCCTAGCCCTGGGGCAGCAAATGACTTCACAGCGGCTGATCCATAGTGACAGCCCTCCTCTTCACCTCGACTCCTGACCTTCTAGGCAACCTGCTTTGAACCATCACCTCCCGAACCCCTCCTAGAACTCCCTGGCTCAGACTATTCAAACCAGCAAGTGACATCCCCCCCATCATTAACATTTTACTTCAGGTTATATTAGTCTAATATTTAAAAGCTAACATGCTGTCCAGATAATGGCAAACCTTGAGCCGTGGTACAGGTATTCCTAGAGAGGGCTGAGCGGCAGAGGAAGTAGCCAGGAGTGTAATTACTTTAGAGGGTAAATTCCCACATGGGAGCCTGAGAACCACTGCTCTGGGGAAGAGGGACATTTTTCCTGTTTCAACCTCCATGGAGAGAGCCTGGCACCCTGACACGAAGGCTGGGATGGGCAGCTCAGGGCTTTGGGTGGACCAATCCAGACTTCCAGTTGAATTTGGATGTGTGTTTCCGGCAAACATTCAAAGAGGCTTGCCCTGAGTTTTCCATTCCAAACTTCCATGGGCAGCACAGAACCTAAAGGCCCGGATTTCCTCTCCACTTCCCTCACCTTATCCGTCAGCTGGTGCCTCGAGTCAGCACTGGGCAGGGAGCGGGGGTGTCATGTGGGGATGGAAACTGGCAATTAAGCCATATGAGAACACCTTGCCTTGGACTGCTCTGCCGTGACAGCACTTCGGGCCATTGTTAAGCTCAGGGTTTGACCTTCTCAGAACAAAACGGAGTAAGGAGAAAAAGAGAGATCACAATTTGCCACCACTTTCTGAGCACCTACCCAGTGCTAGGATTTGAACTAACGTGAGTCTGACTGGACATCCCAGGTCTTTCTGCCTCACCACACTTTCTGCTTGAATGTCTTTGACCTCATTTTGCCACCTCCTAGGAAGGCAACAGTGCAAGCTGAGGCCTGGTCATTTGCTGTGGGCATGGTCGTTCAGGCCTCTTCAGTGCCAAAGCCTCACCTGTCAACCTAATGGTGGATTGCTCTCCTTTTGGAGATTTTTTTAAAAAGTATGTTGACATACTCTTTACATTTTGGATCAATATTGAGGAATATGCAAAAACCTTCGTGGGGTCCAGAGAATGTTAATAGATCACATACCACAAAATTTCTGATTCCTGTCACCTCCAGCCTCAGATGTTATAAGGAAACATTGTGGACAATCAGTTGCAATTGCTTCCAGGACCCTCTTTGCTGATTTGACAAGCTGTGGGTTAAGTGGTAAACTTGTCTGGCGCTGCCTCTGCTTACAGGTGGGGCAGGTGCTCAGGTTGCTAGGACACCCTGGGGCGAACCTGAGGCTGTGGGGCCCCATGGCAGGAGTCCCTGTTCTAGCATAATGATGCTAAGTCCGTCCATGGCTTTTAAAGCTGTTTCCCTGGTTCTGTCTAGACTGGAGGGTTTGGACAGCCTCGGAAAGTGTGTGAAGAGAACTTTGCCCAAATTGCCCTAAACCTATGTGATTCGATACCAGGCAGGGCCTTTCTTCGTCAGCCCAAGATCCCTATTTCCCTCTAGCCGGTCTGTGGCCTCCGTTACCCACCTGCTGAGGGCCACTTTCTGGTGGAGCAGAAAGCCCCGCTCGTAGGGCCAGGGCAGGCCGGCCTCAAACCACTCGCGGCAGCGCAGCACGGGCGAGATGCAGGCGGCTCCGGTCACATAGCTGGAGGAGCCGCACTCACCCAGGTAGGATAGCAGAAGCGCCGAGCCCGAGCCCTCGCTCACCGCGAACAGAGGGGCCGCCGGGTGTCGGAAGCGGATGTAAGTGACCGCCTCCTTGAGGTCGGACGGGTCCCCGAAAGGCTGCAGCCGGGGGCTGACCAGCGGGCAGCCGTGGTGGCCGCGGCGGTGGAAGATGACCGGGTAGTAGCCGCGCTCCAGGGCGAGCAGGCAGAGGCCGAGCACGTTGCGAGTGAGGCGCCCCCATGCATTGGGGATCACCAGCAGCACCGCGGGGAGGCCGCCGGCGTTGGTGACCCGCCGGCCCCGGGGACAAGGTCCCACGACCCAGTCCAGGGCCACCAGCCCGTCGTCCGCTAACTGCAGGTACTCCCTGGCCAGCTCAGGCCCCGGCCCTACCGGCAGCACGAAGTGGCAGAGGGTCTGCAGGTGGGGCCCCGAGAGCCAGGAGCGCGGGCGCGGCTCCAGCGCAGTCGAGCGTCGCAAGGCGCTCAGCAGGCACTGGGCCAGCGCCGACGGTTTACAGAGGAGCCTGCACCCGCCGGGCAGCGGCTCCCGTCCGTCGCTGAATGGGGCCGCGGCCCCTCGGCCGTCCGCCTCCTTCTCGTGGTCCTGGCCGCGGGCTCCCGGCAGAGTCCTCGCTCCGACGGCGCGCCGCAGCCGCGGGGCCAGCAGGCCAAGCAGTGCGAGCGCGGCCAGGAGCAGGGCGAGGGCGGCGCCCCACGGCGGCATGGCGAGGTAGGAGAGCCCCCGGCGGGTGGAGGGTGGCAGGCGGCGGGGCCGTCCCCTCGGCGAGCTCCTGGCTCTGCGGGCGGAGCTGCCCCAGGGCTCTCCTGCGCGGGGGTGGGGTGGGGGGGTAGGGGTGGGGTGGAGGGGTGGGAGTGGGCGGTGGGCGCTCGGGATTGGCCGTGGCCCTGCAGAGGCAGCCAGTTCGGCCCCGGCTCCCCTCGCCCGCCCCCCCCCCCCCCATCCCGCCCCAGGCCCTTTGTACAGCGATTGCGACAAGCCGGAGCAGAGGGTGAAAGGAGCCTAGGCCACAAAAAGGGAGCGAGGACGCGCCAGCGAGCCGGAAGGGAGTGGGGAGGGCAGCGAGCCGAGGAGTGGGGTGTTGGCGGCAGAGAGTGGGGAGACTCGGATCGGGGCACCGGGATAAGCATCAGAGTCCCCGCCGACCCCTCCCCTCGGCCCCGCTTGGTGTGTAGCTGTGCGGGGAGACCCTGAGTCGCTGCGCCCTCAGGGGCCGCAGCTGAGAAGTCGCAAAAGGGAGAAGTGAATAAACCCCAGCTCCGAGCGCGGGCTCTCGGGCTCCCGCGGGGCCGCTGCAGCTGCAGCCGGAGCCACTAACCGCTCCTCCCTCCCCAGGCTCGGCCGCGCTCTCTGACCTCGGTGTTTGTCTCGGCCGTGCGGGCACCCTCAACTGCGCTAGAGCCCGGCCGGGCGGGGGGTCCGTCTCCGGGCCCGCGGGGGCTTGGCCGGCGTCCCGCCCCACAGCAGGTTTGCTGCCGGGGGCTGCTCGTTCCCTGGCCTGCATCAGCGCGCCCTCCGGATCCCCCCCACCCGGCGCATGGGGCTCCCAGGAGGGGCTTCAGCTAATGGAAATCCTCAACACCGCTCCCTGAGAAAGACTTCCCCAGAAGCAACAGCCCCAAACTGGGGGGGAAAGATGCACACAGGCGCGCTGCTAGGGGGATGCCTGTCATCCTGTGATGGGGCCGTGGCAGGGGTTAGGTTGCAGTCCCTTCATCACTTCAGTAACTGGCAATTACAGGGGAACGAGGGAGGGATGGATAATTAACCCCCTTGTAAGTCACGTTCTTGCTCTATTTTGAAATAACCCACTTTCGCTCTATTTCGAAGTTTGAGGCTGGGCATCTCAACCTTCACCCTCCACACACGTTCCCGTCTTTCCCCAAAATCCTGAGCCGGGCCAAGGAGAAGGGCTCTGGAAAGAGGGTAGCAGAGCCGGCGTCCCCGCCCCCACTTCAGGGGAGGTCCGGCCAGCGCTCCCTGCTGGGGGCGAAGCCTGTGACTCCTCCACCTCACGGTGATAAATATCTCCGTGAGCACACGCCGGCTATCGCTCAACAAACAAGAGCGAAGGCGGGAGTGGGGGAGCAAAGCAGCCCCAGGCCCGGCTTCGGCTTCCTCGGAGTTCTGGGCCTGGGGAGGGTAGAGGCCCGAGACCCTCCGAAGCTCCTCTGGGTTCGGGCCCTATTTGCGAGGGCACGGGTGGGATGGACTGAAGGTGAAGCTCTAGAGTGGTGACCCTCTTCCTTCCGCAGCTCGGACTTCTTGATTCTGCCCCTCTTCTAGCTGCAGGTCACACTGACGTGTCTGAAGCGGGTTTGCCGGAGGAGCGTACCGGTATTCCCTCCGGGGCTACTCGGTCCACTGGGATCTCATTTCCCGCCCTTCGCCTCGCTCCATGATCCCACCACCCATGCACTGCAGCTGCGCTCTGCAGGCCGCGGAGACGCGCTGGGACGAAAGCGCGGGCTAAGGAGGGATCCCCGCCTGTCCTGCAGCGCGGTGCACTGGGGCCGGGCTCGTGCGCGAAACTTTTCCGGCTTCGAGTTTAGGACGCGTGCGCGCAGGGTCTGCGGTTGTGGGCGGGCACTGAGGCGGGGCGGAGGCGGGGCGAGAGTAGCACGCAGCTGCGGGGGCGGGGCGGGGCGAGACGGGGGCGCGCGGTCCTGGGGCGTCGGGGCGCGCGGTCTGGAGGCGGGGGCGGGACGGCGCCCGCGCGCGCGCCCGGGGTCTACGTGGGCACACGGGCGGCGCGGGAGGCGACGCAGGGGCGCGCGCTCCCTGGCTTGCTGGGCGGCCGGCAGATTCCCGGGCGGGCCGGGATGGCGCCTCCTCCGCCTTCGCCCCAGCTGCTTCTCCTGGCAGCCCTTGCGGGACTCCTAGGTCCCAGTGAGGTAAGGCCATCCGCTCGCGAGAAGGCTTCGGCCTCGGATCTCAAAGCGCTTTGCCGAAAGTTCGTCCTGGAAGGAGTGGCGCGTGGAGAGGGGACTAGGAGCCCTCCCCTGGCGGGCTGGGCCTGGGAGGGAGAGGGGCAGGGCCCCCGCCGAGCCCAGTGCCGCAGCTCTTCTGTGCCTTGGACCCACAGGTGGTGGCGGAGCCGGAGGAGGAAGCGAGAGCCGGTTGTCCCGACGGCCTGTGGCCTCTGCCCCCGCAGGTAGGAGCCTGGCGGGGGGGTGGGAGAGAGGGGTGTGAAGGAGCAGCCCAGCCCCGCTCTGGCCTCGCTGCGCCCTCCACGGTCACGCTCTGAGGACCTCTGCCGGTTCCTCCGGCCGTCAGTCGCCAACGTCTCCCTCCCGGCCGGCGGTGTGGGGCCTGCTGCCCCCCCCCCCCCCCCACGGAGTCCCCCAGCTGCTCTAAGCCCTCTTTTCCCCCCATGCATAGGTGTCGCCGAGAGTGACTTACGCGCGGAGGAGCCGATGGCCGGTAAGTGCAAGGCGGGGGCCGTCCTCGGTGGGAAAGCGCGAGCTCCTGGCAGGCGTTCTCCGCCTTTTCTGCTCTCCAGCTCCATTCTCCACCTCTTCCCTCAGGAGGAGACAGTGCTGTCAGGCCCAGGACAGGGAGCCGCGGGCCTCTGCCCTGTCAGTGCTGCGTCAGGAATGCTGTCGGGCGGTAGCTGTCTGCCCGTAGGCAGGAGGCTGCAAGGGCAACTCTGACCCAAAAAACAACCCTTGCCCCAACTCTGCTGTGTGACTGTGGGACGGCTCCTGACTTCTCTGGGCCCCAGTTTTCTTAAGGGGATATTAGTAACGTCTCTGCTCCCGAGGACTAAACGAGCTGTGTGTGATGGCACTTGGGGGGAGTAGGAAGCTGTAAGGAAGTGCAAGGGGGTTGGTAAGGGTGTGCCGAGGTAAAGAGTGTGCCCGAGGTTACCAGGCACCAAACCGTGGGTTCGCCTTGCATGGCTGCCTCTGTTTTCGTTGCTAGTGGTCAGATAGCTTCCCTGTCCCTTTGGGTTTTCCTTTTGAAACATCTAACCCTTTTTTTTTTTTTAATATTTTATTTATTTGAGAGAGAGGGAGGGAGGGAGCAGGAGCGTTGGGGGTAGGGGTGTGGGGGAGGGGCAGAGGGAAAGCAGGCTCCCCGCTGAGCTGGGAGTCCCCATGGATGCAGGCTCCGATGATGGATGCGGGTCCCACAGACTTGGGGATCATGACCTGAGCTGAAGGCAGATGTTTAACTGAGATGAGCCAAAACATCTTTTGAACCTTGTAATAGCTCCAGGCCAAGAAACCTCATGCCACCTACCTGATTCCTTCCCTCAAACACCCTTTCATTAAATCATTCCACTGTTCAGAAACCTTCAACGGCTCTTTATTCTCATCTTATCATGGTCATACCCATCTGATGCCTCTCCCCACCCCTACCCCCAGCTTTTTCAGGCCCTGCTTAAATAAACCTCATCTGACCTCCCCAGATCTTTGGTTCCTCTCCAGTTGTGTTGGTCTACTCACCACACATGTGAGTTCCAGGCTCATTCCCATTGCTGTACCTTTGCTGCTGCTTATTCTCCACACTGGGCCTATCCTGACCTGAAGCTGAAGTGGGCAGCTCCCTGCCCTCCTGCCATCCATCCCATCCACCTCCAAAGCCCAGTCAGCTTTCTTGAGAACTTGCCTGATCACGCCAGCCCTTACTCATCACCTTCTCCAAATTCATGCAATGCTTACAGCTTAGCTCTTATAATTGAGCAACTAGCCACTTTGAGTTTTATTAGTTTGCTCTTTCATTTGCATTAGTTCTATTGCCCTGTTTCCCTGCAAGCAGAGTCCAGGAGTTGTCTTTTGGAATCTCCTATAGCATCTGGCACAGTGCTGAGCATCAGGTCAGCTCAGTCAAAGAATAATTAATAATTGAAGTGTTTCCATCGTGGGATTGTGCATCTGCTGCCTGAGCGCCCTGTATTTGGATGTTTGGGGGGAGATTGAATATGTAGATAAGAGTCAATAAATAGAAGACCTGGTGTCCCTGTGGGGGATGCTTACAGTCTAGACTGGGGACCTGGGGAGCCACTGTTGCAGGTGCAGAGAAATACAGTTGAAGAGTGGGGTCTGAGAGCGTTAACTGTGAGCTTTGAGGGGTGGCACCTGATGGAGTGGAGAGATGAGAGGAACACTCAGAGGCAGGAGGGAATGCTCACCAGCACCCAGGGCTCTTTGTCCTTTCCTGAGTCCTGAAGATGGGTCATCTGGCCACCCCAGGAATCCCTTTAAGCTGGCCCCCCAGGATGGGAGGCCTTGGGATTCTCAGAGAGCGCCCTGGTCCTGGCGTGATGTCTCCATGCTTTTATCTCTAGGCCGAGGATGTCAGCTTCCTCTACCACCCCTGCGTGCACCCTTGGCTGAAGCTCCAGCTTGCCCTCCTGGCCCACGTTTGTGTGGCCCAGCCCTCACTGGCCCCTGACTCTAGCCTTACTCAGGAGCGGGTAAGTGGTTGATGAAAGGTGGCTGTCCGGCTCCGGCAGAGGCGGTAGCCCTGTGTGCAGGGGAAGGAAAATTCAGGGACTTCTTCCTACTTGCTCCCCACCTTCATCTTAGCTCCCCTTTCCTAGCCCCTGGTGCTGGCAGCATGGGGGGTGGTGCTGGAGATGGCGTGGATAGAGCCGGCCTGGGCTGCCCACCTGCTGAAGAGGAGGCGGCGGCGGAGACAGAGGAAGGAGAAGGCATGGCTCTGCTCTGATGGGCTTTCTGGGTCCTTGGTGCCAAGGCCAGGTAGAGGGAGGCTGTGCTGGAGAGGGTGTGTGCAGGTGAGGGGTGCTGGGCTTGGTTGGTGGTGGGGTTGGTCATTGGGCTATCTGGGCGAGGAAAGGGTGACTCCTGTCTCTCTCCCCAAAGGCTCCAGCCTTGGCCTTTACTCTGCGGAGCTGGCGGCCCCCTGGTGCAGAGGAGGCAACTAGGGGGTCCAGGCCCCTCCCTCCTGGTGGTGCCAAGAGGCGTGGGCTGCGGGCTGCCCTGGGTCTCCAGCCCACCCCCTCAGGCCTGAGGTTCGCCTCTGCTTCCCCTCGGAGCTTGGAGGCCAGGCAGCCCATGTTGGCAGCTCGGGGTGAGGGGGGTGATGCGCCGCCTGTGCCCACTCTCCGCTTGCTGTCTGAGGAGCTTGGAGGCAATGCCAGCTCCAGGATAGAGGCTCAAGTGCCCAAAGGGCAAAGCAGCCCAGGGGGCTGCACCTGTCCAGGGGAGGCATCCCCAGCCCCTTGGGCAGCGGCACCTCCCGTGTCACCCCGGGTGGCCCGGGGCCCCACCCCGCGCACGGAGGAGGCTGCTTGGGCTGCCATGGCCCTGACCTTCCTGTTAGTGCTGCTCACTCTGGCCACGCTCTGCACTCGGCTGCACCGAAACTTCCGACGCGGGGAGAGCATTTACTGGGAGCCCACGGCAGACAGCCAGGACACGGTGGCTGGTGAGCAGTTACTCTCTTTACCCACCCAGCCCAGCCCTGGCCCTCCCTGGTCTCGCTGCCATTCTCTGACCGGTCCCCACCCTGCCCGTAGCTGTGCTGAAGCGGAGGCTGCTGATGCCCCCCCGCCGGGTCAAGCGCTCCCGCCGGAGACCCCTGCTCTCACCCACCCCGGACAGCGGCCCAGATGGGGACAGCTCCGACTGACCTGCTGCAGCCCTGCCCGTGTCAGGTTTGCTTTGTCACCTGGGAGGCCGCGACCTCTGCCACGTGGACCCTGTGCCAGACCGCCCCCTGGTGGCCAGACGAAGCCGTCCCGCCTGCGCATCGCGAAGGGGCTTGTCCCTGCGGTGTGGTTTGCTTCTCGCCATGGGGAAAGCGGCCCTTTCGGCCTCCCTTGCCTGTGTTTCTAATTAAATTATTTTGGTAGAATCTGGGGTTGAGCTTGTGCGTCTGCCACACGGACACTTCCCCCCAGGACACTGTCCTGGGCCTCGTAGGTTTTGTTTGAAGTAGGCATTTACAAAATCAAGTTAGGCACCCACCTGCCCTCCTCCTCCTGCCCACCTGGCCTTAGCCAAAGTTTTAGAAGCGTGAGAGAACCTGGCCTGCTACCACGGTGGGGAGGGGGGGTGGTGGTAATTACAGAAACCACCCAGCTCCTTTTCTAGAACACAAGGGCTTCCATAGTTTTGGGTCTACAGCAGCTGGAGTCTTCATTTGCTTCGTGCTCTTGCCAGGTTGGTCTTTCTCCTTCTCGTGTCTGCCACCTCCCCAATCCCCCCCACCAGGTCCCCGAATTCTCTAAGCGTCAGCAACAACACATGGTCACTTATTTATTTTTGATACAAATGTACATGACACACTTCTTGACAGTCAGCCCACCCACCACCACACAAGCAAAGCCTGGCCCCCAGGACAGACGTGGGACAGGGAGGAGAGCTGGCAGGCCCTGCCATCTGCGTCTCCGGCCTCCCAGGCGGCAGCCCAGATGCCAGATATCCGGACGCCGCGGCGCAGGTGCTGGCCTCTCAGAGGTTATGGGGAGGGGGCTCTCAGCTGAGTCAGGGACCCTGGGGAGCCAGCCCCAGGCTCAGGTGCTCAGTTTTCTGCCCCAGCCAGCACAGACCCCTCCACAAGGGAGGGGGGGTGAGATGCAGGGAAGTGGTTTTTGTTTAAGTTCATGGAGAAAGGGGCAGGAGTGGGGGCACAGATGAGGGGAGGCAATGGGTTGGACCCCAGCTGGTTACCAGCAGTCCCTGGCCCCGAGAATGGGGAAGGGGGGGCTGACCCCCAACACTGGTCCTGCTGCTCCGGTCCCCTCACCCTTCACAGAACTCCAGATGGGCCAGGCCTCCGGAACGGCACTGCCGCCCCGCACACGCACACAGGCACGCAGGGACACTCAGTTACCACAATGTTAAAATTAAGGAGTGAAAGAGAAGAGAGAGGAAAAAAACAAAACAAAACAAAACAATTTCCAGTGTTTGCTGCTAGGGACCCTGGGAACACAGGTTGGGGCCTGTGCTCTAGGCAGGGGCCGTTTGGCATTAAAGGAGAGCAGCAGGGGGGCTGGTGGCTACAGGGCGGGGACATCCAGAGATTATGTACAAAGGAGGGGATGCCCCCGCTCAGCCCCCAATAGGGCTGAACTGGCTCATGGGGGTGGGGTGCCTGTAGGGGGAATGGCCCCACTTGGAGTGTCCCTACCCGACCCTTTGCTGAGGGTGTCCCAGAGGGCTAGGGGCTGGGAGTGATGCCTTACAGGCCCCTGCACGGGGAGGCGGGGGGGGGGGGGGGGGGGGGTAGGGCCGGGGGGGGGGGCAGGGAGGGGGGGGGCGGGGGGGGGGGTGGGCACCAGGGCGCCTGGCTGCCAGGGGAAGTGGCAGCACGAAGGGCACTTGCGCCAGTGGCTCTGTTGGGGGTGGGGATTAGTGTTTGGAGTGGCCCAGCTCCCACGGCCAGTGAGGTCCCAGGGTGCAGGTGAGGGTGCAGGGAGAGTGGTCACTGCTTCTTTTCTCGGGTGGTGATGGTGACTAGCTGCTTGGCAGCCTTGGCGATGTCATAAGCGCACTGGATCACCTGCTGAGTCAGCAGCTGGAAGTCCACAGGGGCGCCGGGCTCTGGGGGCACGGTCTTCCGGCACTCGCTCTGCAGCCGGCAGGCGCTGGCATTAAGCAGTCGCAGCGAGCCACGCACAGGCTCCAGGGCGGGCCTCTGCACGGGAGGAGGGAGCTGTGCCTCGGACTTCAAACCACGAGCCACAGACGTGGCCTGGCGTGTCCTCATCCGCACCCAGGCAGCAGTCACATTCCCTGCGCCCGCCCCACCCGGAGACCCTCCCAACCCTGCTCCTCTTTCAGGCCCCTGTACCTTGGGGAAGAGAGAGGCCATCTCAGTCACAGCCAAATGGATCTTCTCTGAGCAGGGCACAAAGCTTTGGAGGAAGGGGGGGTAAAAATCAGGAGGGTTTGCAGGGACAGCGGAGCACCGGCCGCCCTTCCCCTTCGCAACAGCCAGGCGCTGCTGTGAGCCTTGCGTCCCACCCCCATACCTGTCATGCTTGAATTCTTGGGCAGCCCGCAACAATTCCTGAATGTTCTTGGTGACCTGTTCCGTCTTCAGGATGACATCCTCTGTGCTGGGAAGCCCAGGGTCGAAGTCTCCATCCAGGCTTTCCAACTCTGGGTGGAAGTCTTCTTCCTTGCCCAGCTCCAGAACCCTCTTTCCTTCCAGTCTGAGGCCGGGGTTAGAAAGAGACATTCCCGCGGTGAGGCCGCTTGCCTGCACCCTCACGGACACGCCAGGGCCCACTCTGCCTTCCTCCCAGGGGTGCCTCACCCAAGCAGTGGGTCCCCGCTTTGCGTGTTCTCGTAGTCGCTGTCAGCACCGCTGCCGTGGCGGGAAAGCTTGCTCTGGAGGATCAGGGAAGGGGGAGGAGGTGACGTACACATTCACAGGTGCACACAGCCCACGGCTGTCCACGCACACACCTCATTCGGCCTGTCCCCTTGGGCACCGGGCATGGGAACGTTACCGTGTGGCGGCTTCCTTCCTGGGAGCAGGACAGGAGTGGGGAGGAGGGAGTGAAGGGCACGGCAGAGGCCGACACCCCCTTCCGGATCTGAAAGCCGGGAGGGCTGGAGTCAGCTTTTCCTCCCTGCCACCCGCCTTCCAGCTTCCCAGCAGCGCGGGTCACCTCTGTGCCCAGCAGCCAGCACAAAAGCTGCACCCACTGGGGCTCAGAACCGACCCGCAGACATGGACCCGCTTCCCCCAGGCCCTGCTTACCCGGTAAAGGCCGGCGGGGACGTGTACTGAATAGATGGCGTCGTCCTCCAGCTCCTGGGGGATGGCACAGTAGGCACCATCACGGAGGGCTCCACGGCAGCTCCCACCCTGTCTCCCCCAGGCCTGGACACCCACAGGCAACTCACAGTGCTGTGGAAAGGCTGGAGCCGGGTGGTGAGCTCGTCCCCAGGTGGGCCCCCAAAGGGCTTCAGGGCGGAGCCTGGTTCATACATGGAGAAGGCCTGGCGGTCCCTGCGGTGGGCGCTCCCAGCAGGCCCCATCGATGTATGTTCTGCCCGCTCGCTGGGCAGTGGGGGTGTGGGCACCGGCCCTGGCGGCTGCCGGATCTGCAAATTCTCTGCCTGCAGCTTGTGGATCTGAGAGTGCACGGCGGTGTCAGGACCTCCCGAGGCTCTAGGCAGCAGCCCCACCTCCGGGAGCAGGGGACCCTCCGCGACCAGGATGCTGGGAGCCCCCAGTCCTAGCATCCTGGGTAAGTGCTGCTGCCCTTACCTCCCTCTGCAGCCTCCGGAGCTCATCACTCAAGCTGCTGTTGACCTTCATGAGCTGTTGCACCTTTGCCTCGGAGGTAGCCAGAGCCTTTTTCAGCTCCAGATATTCCTGCAGAGTCACGGCCCCGTCGGACAGGTCTGAGGAGTCCATGCTCTGCAGAGTGAGACAGAGGCTAGTCAGCCATCAGGGGCAGGGGGTGAACGCCCGCAGAAGGCTCTTCTCAAGGCCATAACCAGCCCACTTGTCCCCGAAGCCCCAGGCTAGAGGGGGATAGAGGCAGGCCTCGTCGGAGGCCCGGGGCGGGGCGGTGCTCAGACCCGGGCCCGGTTGTTCCGAGTGGCACCAGCGCTGCGCAGGGGCTCCTGGTCCGTGTCCTCGTCCGAGGCCACACTGTCGTAGTCGTGCTGGTCGTCGAGGTCGCTCTGGCTCCGCGCAGAGAGCTCGAGGTTGTCTGAGGGCACAGTCCTGTCACTCAGGATTCAGCCACACAACCCTTCTATCATGCCACCCCAAAAAGGACCCATGAAAGAGAATATTCTAGAAAAGTGCCCACTGCCCGCAGCCCTATCCATGCCCTTCCCACCTGTGGGGCTGCTCAGGCTCTTGCCCTGCTGTCTCCGCTTGGCCTCACTGAGAATGTCTATGATGAGGGTGGCGAACTCTCGGGCATTAAAGCGGGCCAACTTCTGCCGCCCCTACAAGGCAGAAAGAACCCGGCTGGCATGACGGGCCCCCTTACAGCTGATAGATGGGGTGGGGTGGGAACAAAGTTGTCAGGGAGTCCCCTGTTATCTGGCTCATGGCCAGAGCAGGGGGTCAGGGATGACATGGATTCTGGGTGCCTAGGGGAGCTCTCGAGAAGAGGCTGGAATGCCCCCCAGAGGCTGCTCAGCAAGTGCTCAAAACACCCAGCTTCTTCCCCATTTCCAAATCCCAGTGCCAGCAGAGCCCTGAGGGAGGCCTGGGCCAGGGGAGAAGAGCAGGCCCAGGCGGCAGCCCAGTCAGCAGCCGCCGAGGAAGGGCAGGACCCACAGAGCTGGCGACCCCCGGAAGGGAGGAGACTGCCCCAAGCCCCCCACCCAGCCCCCTCACCTGATTCCGTGTGGCTGAGTACTCGGGGTTCACAGGCAGAAAGGGCACAGCACTGCGCTCCGTCACCAGGGTGCTGTGGTTTTGGGTAGCCAGCCACACTGTGGGGGAGGAGCAGGGAGCAAATCGTCTGGAGCGTCCACCGTGGCCAGGCCCGCGGGGCGGAGGTGGGGAAGTGCCGGGCGCAGCCTTCCTCGCTCCTCCCCACGCCCACCAAGTGCTCGTGTTCAAAACAGGGGTGGTCTTCAGACCACAGAAGCAAGGCTGGGTGAGGGCAAGGCTGGGCGAGGCCGGCTAGGCCGATGACGAACAGAACAAGGCGACTCCTTGCCAGGCCCAGCCCAGAGTTTGGGCTGGAATCTAGCTGTGGTCAGGAAGGAGTGATGTAGGGGGGTGGAGTGGGACTGGGGAGTGAGCCAGAGTGGGAGGCAGCCAGAGCAGAGATGAGCCCCAGGCCCTCCGCTGGGGGCGGAGGAACAGGCTGGCTGCCTCCAACTCAGCACGCTCCGCCCGGCGGCCGGGAGGCTGCTGGCCAGGCC